GGACTTAATTTTATACTTAGGACAATTCAAGCACTAATTTACTCCTGCTTTGGCTATGGAATGACTAGAAATTCAGATAGAAAACAGTAAGATCATTCTCACTTGCAACTTATAGAAATTTGGATGTTTTAATATTAATCTAATAACTAAGAGATTCAGTACTGCAATGATAACTTTCCACTGTTCGCTTGCCCTGATAATAAAAATTTGATATGAGAAGAAGAAATAAGGATATAGTTATAACAACCCAGGCCCAAGCCCAAGGGCACAGAATAACTCAACACAACATCCGTATCAGGATAAAACATCCTTGGCTCTGTTTGATTCCAGGTAAGAGTCACAGTTAAGTTTCTGGCAAAGTCCCATTTCATTTACAGGGTGCCAAGGCCAGACTCAGAATTTAACCGGGTAGGAAACATTCCTGATCAAAAGGAGGTAACACAATTCTTCCCTTTTAAAAATATACCCAATTAAATACTTCATAGGTTTTAACCTTTTCATAATAACCTTTAATAACTTAACAATAATTTCATAATTTGTATAAGTGATAGTTGAATAATTTCAGATAAAACTTCATCTTTGCTATATGCAAACCTGGAAATTTCCAGTTTCTTAAATTACAGTACTTCGGAATATTACATATAACAAAAGTTTTCAAACGTTTTTTTCTTTTTTCATTTTTTTTTTCAAAGTTCTAACATCCAGATGAAAGAGAAGCTGCTTTCCTAACAGCATATTTGATACAGCAGTTTACCGAATTTCACAATATTATAAACAATATTATGGATTTGAAACATGCAACAAAACCCATTACCATGACCTCAATTCAGTTAAATGCATTTCCAAATTACCTTACACAGAAAATCCTTCATCCTCTTACATGTGGCTTTAATACAGCTGAACAAATTTAGGTAGGACTTACTTCCTTAATGTAAACTGATTTATAATGTGAGCTGATTTATAAACTTTTTCATTCTAACTATAGAGATGAAGCTAGTTCTTCCACCTCTGAATCTGGAAGCTCTCAGGTTTAAGTATTACAGGACCTTACACCATATCACCAGTACAGCTAAAACAAATTTATAACTATGTCAAATAGCAGGGCTCAAACATCTTATCAGAAAAAGAAAAAACAACATATTTTTGAAACATTATAAATCTTAATAAAATAAGATATACTCAAGAAAAATAGCAGCTTTTAGACAACTTCTTTTTTTTTTGGGTGAGGTGATCGGGGTTAAGTGACTTGCCCAGGGTCACACAGCTAGTAAGTATTAAGTGTCTGAGGCCAGATTTGAACTCAGGTTCTCCTGACTCCAAGGCCAGAGCTCTATCCACTGTGCCACCTAGCTGCCCCTAGACAACTCTTTAAAAACTAAGTTTATAATCTAACAGTATCTAAATTACAAGATAAGTCATTTTTCTAACTATGTTGATGTTTCCAAGTTTCACAATATAGACATGTATTTAATTTTACATTAACAATACTAAGAAATACATATAAAGCTTTATCAATTTAAATTCTCAACTATTATTATTACGTAAGCTCAAAGTACACCGGGCTAAGTATTACAAGCTACTGCTTTTAAAATCTCTTACTCTAAGATTCTAGGTGGAAGACTGATTTTCTGGCGCAGGCAGAAAGCTCTAAGGAATTTCGTCATTTGCTGGCATAGTGGCCCCTAATTACTCAGGCAGAAATCCTTGCGAGTTTTCACTGACAGAGTTAACTAAATAATTCTCAATTTGCACAGTATAAGGAAACACAAGGTACTATAAAACAGTCATAACTGAAACAGAATAGGGCACTGAAGATCATAATAGCCAACATTTACATAGGGCTTGATGTATAATATATGGCAATGCCGGATGCTAAGCGCTCTACAACTGGAGCCCTTACAAATGATCCTGAAAGGTGGTTGACTAGCAGATGTTTATCTGATTTCACTTTCAGGCAACTAAGAAGTTAGGCAGTTCAGTGTAATGAGTAGGGATACGGACTGGATTTTTTTCTTTTTATTATATCTAGTTCTCAACTAAAATTAAATTACTGTCCTTTAACCTGAGCATAGGGCTAGATCTTGAAGTAGGTCAGTCTGCTGCCAGAGTTCAGCACTCAGCACTATTTCTCAAACCTAATTACTTCAAACTGTTAGCAGGGTTGGAAAGATCCTACAATTCTACCTTTCTCAGATGAGGACATTTTAAGGGGTCCTTGCTATGCCAATCGCCACAGAAAATCATTATTATTATCTTCTACATTTCTCACGAGTTTTTGAATTGATCTGTCTGTTTAGAATGTTGACTTATTCTTTGTGAAATATGTGAAACACTATTCCTCAAATTCATTGTGTGTGATTTTTTTTCTGGTTAACTGATTTACTGTATTACAAAACTATGTTTTCCTTTTGAGCTTTATAAAAATTTCAACATAAAAATATTTATCTCTTTTAACCATTAAATCTATAACCCAAGAGAATCAAAGGTCACTTTTCTAATAATATTTCTAATACAATAAATTATCACATTCATATTAGGTACTAATTCCATACAGCTAACAAATTGGTAAGTAACTTGTAAGTAAGGTAACTTGGCTTAAGACAACACAGCTAACAAATTTTCTATCTATGTATTTTCCCAACACTTGGTCTTATTGCCAACTAGCAAAATAAAGTTATAATTGTCCCACTTAAAATGAAATCAGAATTAATTCAATCACACCTGGATCTATATTCCCAAATGGTATCATACAGTATACTTAAGTAATAATAATTTCAATTATTTAGCATTATTCTTTATTAAAGACTTACTATGTATCAGGAGGGGCAGCTAGGTAGTGCAGTGGATAGAGCACAAAGCCTGGAGTCAGGATGACTTATCTTCCTGAGTCCAAAACTGGCCTTAGGCACTTATTAGCTGTGTGACCCTGGGAATGTTACTTAAACTTGTTTTCCTCAGTTTCCTCATCTGTACAATGATCTGGAGAAGGAAATGGCAAAGGACCAAACAGCCAGAATGAAGTGGTTATCCTTGCTTGGATTGCTGAGAGAGGCTGGGATATCATGACCAGGCCTTGCTACCATGTGTTACCTCCTCCGCCTTTCCTCCTAAAACCACAAAAACTTTTTCATGAGTCCTTTTGGTTGGGAAATCCACTGGATATCCTCCAGGATGGCAGGTTTGCTACCCTGTTATCTCAATTAAAGATGCTTTATTCTTCAACTCATGGCTTTGATTTATTTCAGGACGTGACATGTACAAAGCCACTGTAAATACATTAGCTCACTTAAACTTCGTAAGTTTGTGAAGTATTAATTATTATGAATACAGACATTTCAATTATGTCCATTTTAACATTCTCCATTGTACACCAATTAGCTCATCTAAACTTTAGAAGTCTATGAAGCATTAGTTACTATTAATATAGACATTATGAATTATCCCCATTTTTGGAGGATTTTGGAGGCTCAGGTTAAATGACTTCCTGTGAGTCACATAGCAGTAGAGAATACAGACAAGATCTGAATTCAGGTTTTTCTGCCTGGAGGGAGGTACAGTATAGCTTTTGATCTGATACTCAGTCATACCTCTAAAAGTAGATGAATATTTGTCAGATATGTTGTAGAAGGCATTCTTTCTATTTCAGGCATTGAACAGAGCCCTGAATTTGGAGTCTTATCACCTGTGTTCAAATCCCTGCTTTGCCATTTATATTCCCCTGTGTGACCTTAGGCAAGTCACAGCCTTTGTGGACTGAGGAGGTTAGATTTAATGGTCTTCAAGGTTCCTTTCGTTCCAAATCCTAAGAACTACATGCCACCTGAGATTCCTTTCAAATCTGATACTCTATGGTTCATTGATTCCTGAATTTAATCAATTAATCAATAAACATTCATAAAGCACCGACTATAAACCAGTCACTGGGAATACAAAAAGAAGCAAAAGGCGGTTCCTGCCCTCAAGGAGCTTAAATTCTAATGGAGGAGACAACGTAAAACAACTATATACAAAGCACGCTATATAAATAGGAAATAATAAGAAATAGTTAAAAGAGCGAAAGCTCTACCTAAGAGAGGCTAGGCCTGGGAAAGATCACAGTCAGGCAACTTTTTACTAAGACCAAGTTGCAGAGGTGTGGCTGATCTGCATTGGGAGACGGAGTTTCCTCCCACCGGAATTTCCCGACACTAATGAAAATGTAGGTGTGGACAAAAACCCAAACAAAAACCGACCAATCATTCCCGAGGTCTGCCGGGGGGGGGGGGTGTACACACTGGACGCCCTTTAAAGTTTGCACTATTAACATTTTCTCCGTCTAATCCACAACCACCATAAATTGCGCCCGTTTCCCGAGGTGTAAGGGGCCTCGCTGGGCTCCAGCCCCTCGGCCCGGGCGCCGGCAGGGCTCGCGGATGCTGCTGCCGCCGCTGCCCAGGACGCGCTCTCCCGGGAGGGGATCGGCTGTGCGGACACGAGGGGCTATCATGTGGATTACCACGCGTTAGGAGCGTTAGGAACCGGGCAAACCTGGCAGGACGCTACCCAGATACCAACGAAGAATGGGACCCAGGACGAGGCTCCAGTGGGGCAGGGCCCCTGGGGTGGGGACACTGGGGCGGCTCCGTTGGGATGGGCGGGGCAGAACTCGCTCCAATCCATTCAAGGAGGAGGAGCCATAGCTTATTTAGCGGGCTCGCCTCGTCCCCATGACGGAAGGAGTTCGGGTGCGCGTGCGCGTGCTCACTGGTATTCCGGTGCCCACCGTTGAGCCTGAGTCTTCGGGCACCTCGGCATTTCCGGTTCCCGTTTGTGTCGGGTTCACTGGGAATTCCCTGCTGTCCTCCCGGTCCGCGGAGGAGGCGGCTGGCGTTCCGAGGATCCCGGTGACCTCGATACCGTCTTCCTTTTTGTCAGGCAGCGCTCGGGTCAGGCGGGCTGCGCGCGCAGCCGACGTCGTGAGGGCCCTGGCAGGACCCCGGCGCTGCTGAGGCGGCCGGAGCCGGAGCGGGAGCCGAAGCCCGAGTGGGAGGCGTTGTCGTCTTCGTTGTCGTTGTCGTCGTTGTCCGGACGGGGGCGCGGCGATGTGGTGGGGCGAGGGGCCCAGCGAGTGGCAGACGTTGGCCTGGGAGTTGCTGGGCGCGTCCGCCGTGGTGCTGCTAGTCCGCTGTCTCGTTCGCCTCCGGGTGCACTGGCCGGGGGTGATCCGCCAAGGCGTCGACCGAGGCCGCGGCAATCTCTGCCTGGACTCCGGCCCGGACCTTGACCCCGGCTCCGACTCCAGTCCTAGTCCGAACCTCGGCCCCGACCCGGCCTCCAGCCCGGCCCCCGGCCCTACATCCTCGGCTCTCGGCGGCCGCCGCTCAGGTGAGACTGGAGGACTCGGGGCCCCGCCGCTTTCCGGCCTTGCTCCCCCTCTTTCCCGGCCTAGCGGTCTCTCCTCTCCCGCAGCGTGCCCGCGGCCCGGCAGTAATAATAACAACGATAACGACCTTCCCGTTTTTGTCTCTTCTTACGGAAGAGGCTCCTCGCGCGTGGGGGCCGCGCCCGCTCCCCTTCGGGTCCTGTAGAGGTGTCCCTCGGGCCCGCCTGGCTCTCTGCAGTCGGCCCTTCGGAGGCGGCCAGGTTGCCGAGGCGTGAGTGCCGGACTCGGGCCTTCCAGGCTGGGCGAGCCCCTTCATCTCTCTCAGCCAAAGTTTCCACATATGTTTTAACAAAAAAAAAAAAGACAACAAAAAAAAAATCTCTTAAAAAATACTAGCGCTTACGTCCTAGGGATGTTGTGATCAAAGGAGCTGAGCTACATAAAGCATTTTGTAAACCTTAAAGCAGTATGTAAATGCTGTTATCACCTTCATCGTCTTTCTCTTTAAAGCTGGCCCAGGAACACCCAGGTTCAAGTCCTGCCCCTCACTCTTACAAATTGTGTGACCTTGGGCAAATCACTCAACCTCTCACCAACCCTGGCAACTTTTAAGTCAGTAAGTTGCCGAGAAGTGGCTCATCTGCACTGGTAGAGGTAGTTTACTATCCAAGAATTTCTCTCCACCAATAAAACCACAGATTTGGAGGGAGAAATTTTTGTTACTATCACCGTCATCTTGGCATGCTGGGGTGAGGGGGAGCAGAAAAAGTAGAAGGAGTGCCTGGTGTCGGGATGAGAAATGGAGGGGAGAGGATGAAGGTGATGATGCAGATACAGCTTGCTTCAGAGGCAGGAACACTTGGATTCAAGTACTTTCCTAAGTGCATTTTCTGTTGACCCCCTAGGAAAGTCTTCTAATCTCTAGGTGCTCCCAGGCAGCTCTGTAAGATGAATTGCAGTTCAGCATCCATAGAGAGAATTCTCACTTTGTTGAAAATCATAGGTTCCTAAATTTTGAGCTGTAAGGGAAGGGACCTTAGAAACCATTTAGTCCTACTTTCTTGTGCAGATGAGGAAACAGTTTACAGAGGTGGGCGCTTGGATTTTAAGTAGAAGAGGTGGTATTTGAATATAGGTCTTCAACTCCAGATCCAGTGTTTTTTTCACTGTACCATGTTTCTGTGGTCTAGATGGAATCATAGCTGACATGAGTATAATGCTTGGTTCAGTCAGTAGACAAGCATTTATTACGTGCATAATGTTCATTGAGCAAATAGACTGTATTAGGAATTTTGGAAATAGAGACAAAAACAAAACAGCCTTGGTCTTCTAGAGATAAGGACATGGGTTTAGAACTAGGATGGACTTTAGAGATCATTTAGTCTAATACTCTCATTTTACAGATGAGAAAACTGAGACCCAGAGAGGTTTATGTCTTGCCCAAAGCCAGCGTTTTAGTCTTCTTATGCCAAAGCCAGTGTTCTGTCCACTATGCTTTGCTGCCTTCAATTTATTTTAGGTACTAGGGTAACTACAGGAGGAGATGGCACCTGAGTTTAAACCATTCAGGAAGCTGTGAGTTCTAAAAATGGAGTGATAAGGCTAGGCCTTCCAGGCATGAATGAAGGTTCAGAAATGGGAGGGAGGGGATAGAGTGCCAAGTTTAGGGCACAGCTAGCAGGCCAGTTTGAGTGGAAACAGAAAGTCCATGAAGGGAGTGATTGGAAACACACCTAGAGATAGATGTAATCAGGAACTGGGCTAGGAAGGGCTTTAAAAGCCAAACTGAAAAGTTTGTAGTATATCCTAGAAGCAGTTGAGAGCCACTCAATATTATTGAGCAGGGGGGTGACATGTTAAGAGTTAGACTTTGGGAAGGTGATTTTGGCCATTTTGTGTAGAATGAGTTGGAGAAGTAAGTCTGGAATTAAGGACTCGAAGTAAAGAGGATATTGCAAAGTAGTCCAATTGATTAGAGCCTAAACACACTGGTGTTAGTTGTGTCAGTGGACCTGATGGAGGCAGGGTGTGGGGGAAGGGGCATTGACGCAGAATGAAGATGGTGACCGACTTTATCAGGCTTTAGGCACCCTCCCAGCAGTCCTGTGAGCTAGATACTACATTCATTAACTCCTTTTACACAAGAGGAAACAGGCTCAAAGACAGGAAGTGACTTGTTCATGGTCATATAGCTAGCTAAGTGTTTAAGTTAGGATTCAAACGTAACTATCTCTGGACTCCAAGTTTAGCACTTTTGCTACTATGGTAGGTTGCTGGACATTGGTTTGTAGTGTCTGGACCTGGAAGGAACCTTGTTTGAGATTGTTTGGTCACACTGAGGCCCTGAGAGGGAAGGTATGTGCCCAAAATTGTGCAGCTAATAAGCGCCACAGCTAAGACTTGAACTCTTCCTTTTACTCCAGATTTGGTGTACTCTTTAAAAAAAAAAAAGAGGATTTATTTTTTTAATCTTTTTTTTAACCTCACTACAACTTCTCCTAGTATTCCTCAGCTTCTCAGAGAACCATCCCTTGTAACAAATAATATTTAAAAGAAAAAGAGAAAAAATAAGAAAAAAAGGAAAAAACAATCAGCCAAGGTCCAGTACATTTTTGACCACATCAGGTGTACCCTGGTGTAGACTTCTGGATCCCATCCTAACTAGGTCTTGATTGATGGCTTTCCTAACTCACACATTCATTTCATTCTTTGGCAAACATTTATCAAGTGCATATTATGTGCAAAGCCTTGTGCTAGGTGGGTAAGAGCACATTTACCTGTGCACCTGTGTGACCATAGAGTGGTCTACTTTGCCTTGACCACATTTTGTGTTAAAAATAATCAATATTCACAAACAAAAATAATATACCTATGTAAAAAGGGGAGGGTTGAATGGGAAAAAGTCTTTGTATCAGATTTCTCTTATTAAGGGCTTGGTATCCAAGATATATTAACAGTTAACTGACATATGTAAGACTAACAGCCATTCAAAGCATATGAAGAGTTTTTTTTTTAATTTAGTATTTTTTCCCAAATTACATGTAAAAACAATTTTCAACATTCGTTTTTAAAATTGAGTTTCAAATTCACTCCCCCATTGAGAAGAAAAGCAATCTGATATAAGTTATATATGTATAGTCATACAAAACATTTCCATATTAATAACGTTGTAAAAGAAAACATAGACCAAAATTTAAAAAATAAGAAAAAGAAAGTAAAAACAATATACTTTGATCTGTATTCAGACTCCATCAGTTCTCCATCATATCATGGATAGCATTTTTCGTCATAAGTCATTATGATTGAATCATTATATTGCTGAGAATAGCTAAGTCATTCACAGTTCATCATCATACAGTATTGCTGTTACTGTGTACAATTTTCTCCTAGTTCTACTCATTTTACTTTGTATCAGTTCATTTAAGTCTCTCCAGGTTTTTCTGAGAGCATCTGGCTCATCATTTCTTATAGCACAATTCCATCATAATCATATACCACAACCTGTTCAGCCATTCCCCAATGATGAGCATCCCCTCAGTTTCCAATTCTTGGCCACCATAAAAGAGCTGCTATAAATATTTTTGTATAGATGGGTTCTTTTCCTTTTTGTTTTTTATCTCTTTTGGAATATAGACCTAGTAGTGGTATCACTAGGTCAAAGGATATGCATGGCTTTATAGGCCTTTGGGAGTTCCAATTACTTTACATAATAATTGAATCAATTCACTATTCTGCCGACAATGCATTAATGTCTCAATTTTTCCATATCCCTCCAACATTTATCATTTTCATTTTCTATCCTATTAGCCAGTCTAATAAATGTGAGGTAATTTCTCAGATTGTTTTAACTTGAATTTCTCTAATCAGTAGTGATTTAGAACATTTTCTCATAAGGCTATATACAGTTTTGATTCTTCATCTGAAAAGTGACTGTTTATCAGTTGGGGAACGGCTCTTATTCCCATAATTCTCTTATTCCCATAATAGAGAATTATTTCTCTATATATTTGAGAGGTGAGGCCTTTATCAGAGAAATTTGCTTCAAATTTTTTTTTTCACAGTTATGATTATTGCTCTTCATCCTATTTCTTCCCTGCTTATTCTATTCTCTCTTTCACCTGTCCCTCCTTAAAAGTGTTTTGCTTCTACTCTGGTCTCCTCCAGTCTGCCCTCCTTTTTATGAGTACCACCCCCTTCTCTTGTCCTTTTCCTCTCCTGTTTTCCTGTAGGGTAAGATGGATTTCTGTTCCTAATTGAGTGTATAGTTGTTCCTTCTTTGAGCCAGTTCAGAGGAAAGTAAGGTTCAGGTGTTCCCCACCCCCTCCCCCATCTTTCCCTTCACTGTAAAAGCTCTTTCTTGCCTCTTTTAGGTGAGATAGTTTGCCCCATTATACCTCTTCCTTTCCCTTTCTCCCAGTGCATTCCTTTTTCTTACCCTTTAATTTTATTTTTTTAGATGTCATTCCATCATATTCAATTCACACCTGTGTCCCCTGTCTATGTATACTCCTAACTGCCCTAAGGATGAGTTACAAGTATCATCTTCTCTTGTAGGAATGTAAACAGTTTAATCTTATTAAGTTCTTTATGATTTCCCTTTTCTGTTTACCTTTATTTGCTTCTCTTGATTTTGTATTTGAAAGTCAGATTTTCTATTTAGCTCTGGTCTTTTTATCAGGAATGCTTGAAATTGAAAGTCCTAAATTTCTTTGAATGTCCATTTTTTTTTCCTTATACAGTTTCCAGAATAAGAATTGTAAACTATTAACCACATGAAAGCATGCTCATTAATAATAAAAGAAATGTAAATCAGAACACCCTGAAGGTTTTATCTAATTCTATGCAAATTGGCAGAGGTGACAAAAGTTGAGTTTAGTCTGTTGGAAGAGTGGTGGATAGATAGGCACATTAATGCTAAAGCTATTTGGAATTATGCAAATAGTGACGAAATATCTTTACCCTTTGACCCAGAGACTCCATTATTAAACCTCCCCAAGGAAGC